GAAGGACGAGTAATACGTGTTTGTGCCACTTTAATATATGCATGTCACAGTTTGGCTTCACGCATCAGCCTTTGTCCTCAACAGTGTCCCGCTTCATGGAATAATCGATGTATATCACTGGGAACAGCAAACGCTAGATGATCAACCCAAAGGTTGAGGGAGAGCTAACAGGGCATTTCTCAAAAGAGCCAGCCCACCACGTCTCAAGTTTGTTTTCTAAACGAATAAATATGTTTTGTGTTTTAAAATATTGTTAAATCTTCCAAAAGCAATCAGCAGACTCTGAAGAAAGAGGTGCGAGTGCTGCATTTCTCTTATATTGAACAGATAATAAAAATGTGTGTATATTTTTTAACATTATAATCTGGTTTCTTCTTATAATCATTGCCTTGTAATATTTCATAGTAAACCATGGCTAACAATCCTAGAGTACCAAGGTTTACTGCTGCAGAAGCATGCGTAAAGTGATGATGAAAACAGCTCTGTTGATGAAGACACATTGATTACATTTTTCAACGTCTGCAACAGATAAAAGAAACTTTCTAGGAATGAAAAACACAAAAGCAACAATTAAAACAGGCATAAATGGACCAAATCAGTCATTTTAGCCACTTAAATAGTTTCTATATTCTTGTTTCTAATGTTAGTCTGAGAGACCGTGAAGGCTCTTGAGCAAATGGTGACGGTTAAAAAGACAAAAGTTTAAAAAAACAAATACTTTTGAAAACATCTCAACATGTCCAACATGGAGTTTCAACTTGGGAAAAATGTGTATTCCCTGACTCGTTGGTCAGTCCCTCCTGGTTATCTCCAGCTGTAGTAGTACCACAAACCTCCCGTTGGTATCTTTAGCCACTGGCAGATTGTCATGCTCATATGTAGTTTTTTCCACAACAGAGAGAGTCCGCCTTCATTTTGCTTTACCACTCCAACCAACACATTTCAGAAGCTTAACTTTGATGGTGAATGATGTCCGTGTCGAGTTTACGTCGCACTTTTCACAGTCCCACTAATGCTTGTCGAGTAGTTTGCAAACAAGCCGGCTTCTTCCATACAAACCATGTGGGACAAAGGTAACCTGCTAGCAACCAAAGCAATCATTCTTGTTTTTAGTGCAGTACCGTAATCTTGGAACCAGTTTCACTCTAGTGACTGGCAGTAACCCCCGGGTCTCTAGCCTTTACTGACTGAAGCCTAATTAAAAAGAGAACCTTTAATAAGGCCACTAATACTTTTTCAGACTTTATCCCAAAGTATGAAATTCTTTTTATTTCTATTTCACTTTTTTTTTTTACAATTAAATAACATTTTTTTAATTATAACCTTTGATTGATAATCAGGGAGACTATTTCTCTCAAACACTAATGATCATATTTGATTATGGATTTTGAAACCAGTAGTTTTTGGCCCTGATTCCAAAGTGAGCTGGAGCTGCAACAATAAACTTGGCAGTATCGAAATCTGCTGTAGAAGAAAAAGTAAAGGCATTTCTAAAAAAAGGTGCAGGGCACCCTCGAGTCTTTTGTTTTTCTCTCTAAAGAAGTAAGAAAAATCTTCTCTTGTCAATTTTTAGAGAAACCTGCAAGGAACTGATTGATCTCCATAATAACACAACAGCAGCGGACCTCCTTTATCTGAGAAACCAAACACTACAGAAAAGCTCCGTGTCAGACCTGACAAAGTGCTGCTGTTTTCTCGGGCACTTCCAGACACAGCGTGGTGAAGAAGTTCTTTTGAGCGTTAAATCACTCAAGAATATCGCGCGGTGAGATATCTGTCAAGCCCGTAATCTTTATTGAGTCATAATGGCGAGAAAAATCCTTCACTGCTGATTGCTGCTGCTCTCTCAGCAGAATTATTTCCCAGAGCTGCTGTAATTGGGACTATAATAAGTGGTGAAGATAAGAGAGGAGCTCTTAAAGGCACCGTTGACATGGGTTTCATTACATCCAACTATGGTGATGATAGTAGTTAAGATCACTCACAAGCCATGAACTTAAAAACATGTTCTTGGGTTTATGAAACACCACTGGAGCCTGGAATCGAAGAAGAAATATGAAATGACTCGTAACGTTTCACAAAAAACTAAGGAGTTGTTTTTTTGAGCTTGAACTAATTTAGTATTGATTAATATAGTGGGAAACAATGGTGATGTTGGCGTTTAACCAGACCTGAAAATAATCTTTTTCAGGTCCCTGCAGAACTGGCAAAAGTGCAGAATTGTTACCTAAGTAGAATTATGATACATGTGTTAAAAATACTCCTATAAAAGCTGAAGTACTCATTAAACTTCTTTATTCAAGTAAAAGTGAAAATGTACAAGCTCTGAAATATACCCAAAACAGTAAAAAGCAGCTCTTTGAAGGACATTTCTACCAGCTTTTTTCGTGCCAAGCTAACTGAAGCTCTTGTTCTTTTAATTATATAATGATAAAATGTAGCGGTCCATGGGAATACAAACGTTTTTAGTTTTTCTTTGCCTCTACACCTAAACAGAAAAAAAAGTGCAGTCAAGGGTTAAAGTGGGATTTGGCACATGGGGCAACGCTAATATTGGTGAAAATGGCTGAGTGTACGGAAAAGCACCACAAATCACAATAATTCCCGTTGTGAGGTCCAGTAGATTTCTTCTTGTACAGGTGATCAGCTGATCTTACACAACTTAATCCATTAGCTATCTTGGCTGATTTTCATCCCCTACACTGACAGACAGTTTGCTGCCTTTATATCAGCTTCAGTTCAAATCCATCTGTGCTGTACTTGATGTAACCTAATCTGACCATGAACACCACAGCCACCGTGCACCAGTCCAACACTTTATTGTAAATTTGCAAACAGTGCTGCAAACTAACCCGTTTATCCCGAGTTTTTTCATGGATTGCTTTAATAACATAAAGTTAATACCTCAGTTTGTTTGCACTGATCAGTGCAGTCGTCTGTCCTGTCTTTTTTACATCTTTCTCCATCTCTGACTGGAGTTCTCTCAGTCTCAAATACAGCAGCTATACTTTTAGCTTTTAGCACTGCACAGAAAGAGGTTGTGTGTTTGCTGGTATTTGTTGAGCTGATAGAAACGTATTTATAATTGCCTGCCATTTTAAAACATGTTACTCCATTTATGCTCCCTCTTTTTCTGTAATTAGCAGACCTAAAAAAAACAGTTTCTGATTTTTCCCAATTTAAGACTTGAGTACAGAGCTTTAAATGATGCATAGATTACATGTTACTGTTTCTTTCATCTGTTTGTATACAATAAGCCTTGGTGATGGATACACCAATAGGATTGTTTTTTCTGTGTTATTGTTCCTGCATTTAGACTCAAATTGGTTTGATGTTTGAATGTGCACAGTGATGTGAAATATAAACTTTCCTCAGATCCTTTAAACCCAAAGTAGGCTAAGAAGAAGACCAAAGAATATTGGTATTGTTCTAATGCATGCTAAGTGGACATGAGGGCGCCCCCTCATGCTGGCACAGGTTTCTAAATGATAATTAAACATCAGAAGTGAAGTTAAAGCCCATCAGAAGCTTCAGTGTGTGTATAAGAAGCAGCTGGTTGATGTGGATGAAGGTGATGCTATTGGGAGAAAGCTGCTACAAGTTCTCTGCTGCCGTCCCTTCATTCCTGAAATCTGAATAGCTGATACTGTAAAATGACACTATGATGTCTTTAATACCTACAGGAAATTATTTTACTACAATCAAAACACTTAAAAACATCTGAAAAGAAATCCCTCTGATATATCAAACCCTCATCTTAAACAGATGAAATTCACGTTTTTGTTCGACA